AATGTTTTATTATGACAACAACACATTATTCAATTCTACTCTTTACTATTCCCCCTCCCAGTTACCCCACTATTGAAACAGCATAGTAAAATAATAGTGTGTGGCAGGCCCAAGATCCTAAAAGGAATATAACTGCAGGCCTGACAGACTGGCTATAATCCAAGGTGACACTCCCAACTTTCATGCCTAAGGCTCTGCCTAAGGCAGAGCTAGAATTCTGAGTCTGTTTAATTCATTATTCCATGACTTTCTCTCTTGTACAGTACAGAACATTATTTTTGATGTTTTGTTCATGTTTTTCTTTTCTTGCTTTCTATTGGTTGCTTCTTAGGATTGAAAGTGATTGGCCTAAGTCACCCAGTTGGCTTTGTACCTAAGGTGGTATCCCAGTTTCTAGCTTGATGCCTTAACCTTTACTTGTCCACCCAATTTTGAGTCAACTGTGAATGACCATTCGATAATGCAAATTTGAACAGCATTTCTTCTTCTTCTTTTTTATCCAGATATAAAGGTGTGGAACAGCACAAGGCCCAGAATTAAATCCTGTGACACCATCAAACTGCTGAAAAACCCTCTTTGAATTTGATTTTTGAACTAGCTGTGTATTATTTGTTATGCTATCAAATTTATGTTTAACTAGCTTAACTAGTAAAAATTTTTACTACCAGTTCTGTGGGCATGGCTTAGTGGGCATGGCTTGGTAGGCGTAGCAGGGGAAGGATACTGTAAAATCACCAGTAGGAGGCAGGGCCAGTCAGACGTTGTATTTACCGGTACTCCGAACTACTCAAAATTTCCGCTACCGGTTCTCCAGAACTGGTCAGAACCTGCTGAATACCACCCTTTGGAGTGGGAGAGACTTCTGACTTTCTGCCCGTTACCCATTGACAGTATCAGAAGTCACAAAACATGTGATTAGGGGGCTCTTGCAGCCGCCACAATTTGTGAATAAAAGTAATCTGAATATCCTTGAAATTTTAATTCCACAATAGTCATGGGTTCAAGATCTTTTTACACTTTTTTTTTAAGATCATGGATTTGAAGTACCATAATACAAAAATTATTCTGCTCTAATATACTGTTTGGACTAATTGAAGGGAATAAACAGATGCACAATAGGAGTTGTATTAGTATCTGCAATCCACTTTCCCATTCAGTCCTTTTCTCCCTCAAATAAAACTGACTGTCCTTTTGTCATAGAAGTTTGAATAAGTTAGAAAAGTAGAACTTTCAAAAAAGTAACTTTCAACCAACTTCATTCCTATCTCCATCAGAGAAGGAATGTATTTCAACTTGAATGTAAAGCACAATTTCACAGCTGGGTTTGTAGTTTAAACTGTAGCTTTGTTCACCTCCCGTGTAGGATTTGGGCTTCTATTACCATCAACCTTAAGCAAAGGGTGAATAGTAAAGGACTGCTAAGACCTGCTTGCAAAACACATCATGAAGTCCATATATCTTGTAGTTACCAGTGTTTGAAAACACTGATCTACTAGTTAGATCTGACCCTTCTTAGTTTTTCTATCTATTTTTTCAATATCAGCCAAGGTCATCCAAGGGCAATGCAGCATCTTCAAGGGTGTTAATAAATAGCTATGGGCAAAGAGTTTTACAACTTAATTGAAGTTATATTTTGCTTTATTTTTTAAATATGAGCTATGGATATGATTATCATTTTAAGGAGTTTGGGCCACAAATAAATAATATCATTTTGGAATGGAAGACTAAAAACTGAGCCTTTCACAGCAACTTTCAAAACCAATTTTTAGGAGAAAGGAGCTGATGTTGCAACAGAACGATGTGCGATCTCAGAGCTCCGAGATCGCAGTCGACACTTTTGCCGCTAGACGGTCCATTCGGACCTAAACCACCCCAAAGAGATGGTGACAGAGAAGAGTATGTCTTGCTGATCACAGGGACAACACAAAGTCCCTGATTGATCCACTAGAATCTCTTCTTGCCGGCGACAAAAAGCACAGTCTCAAGTTGCTGAAGTCGGGACAGCTCCGCATTGGGAGGAAAGGGGAAAGAGAAAGTGTGTCCATCTGGTGAGGAAATTTTATTTTTATAAAAGACTGCCCAAAAAAGATTGAAGTTAAATTAAACTGGTAAAGAAAAGAAAATAAGCGGTGAATCTAAGTATTATTGGACAGTGTGTTATCTTTTTTATTTTATTTTCTATCGATGGAAGTTTTTTGAAATTTTTTTACTTTTTAAAGTGAAAGTATTGGATTTTCTTCTTCTATTTCTTTTTTTACCTATGGGTTAAATCTTTTCCTTTATTTCTACAATATTGGTTGGAATGGATTTTTTTTTATTTCATTTAAGAATCTTTTCTCTTCTAACCTGAAATATAAAGAATATATAAAAGGAATATAAAGAGGGTAATAATTCTTAGAGGGAAAAGAAGTTACACTGCCACTTGGAGGTTGAGACCTGGAAACATTGCTTTTTCTTTTTTCCCTTTGATCATTTTGACCTTGAACTTCAAAGGCTTCAGCTTGTTTATAGAGAAGAGCATGGGTTGTTTACGCAGGTGTTCTCTGGATGCTTGTTGGTAACTGAAAAAAAGTGAAAACAAAGATTAGTTTTTAAACTAGTGGCAGTGTTTTTAGCAATTGGAAGGATGGCACTACATCAAAAAGAAACCATAATATTGCAACAGATTATGTTTGGAATTCAAAAATTATTAGAAACAACAGAGAGAATTGAGAAGAGATGGGAAAAATATTGAAAATATAAATTTTAATGTGGTAAAACCTGATGGAAAAATGGAAGATATCCAGCAAATGGAAAAAGTGGAGGCTTGAGTCCTAAAAACCCAAGGGAAAAATGAACAAAGAGGTAAGATAACCGTGGATATCGACAGTGAACTGAGTGTGGTTGGAGATGGAAGGAGTGGAACAAGGAAAGGGAAGATAGATGGAAAGGTGCTTTACTTCAGATTTCAAGATATAGAAGAAGAAAGAGAAGAATTGATGGACTTAAGGAGGGAAACATTGACAAAAACACTACTGGTAACCAAAGATAAGCTGATTAAAGAAGCTGATGAACAGTATTGAGATTTTACAAGATATGTAACAAGCAACAAGTTGGGAAGTGAAGTCCAAACAAATTCGATTAAGGAAATAACCAGAAGACTAATTCCACAAATGGCAAAAGAAATAGGACTACACTATTACTGGAAAGACACAGGTTGAGATACAAAAATCAATAAAACACTATTTAAATTTAGTTAAAATTAGAGCATTATGTTAAAAATGTAGTGATAAAGGATAAAATTAGGTAAATAATTGATAATGATAACAATGTATGTATTGGTTTGATAAATTTTAAAAAGGGGGAAAAGTAAGTTAAACTTAGTCAAACTATTGTTAAATAAATGACTGATAATGATAATGTAATAATTTGTATTGACATGCTAAAAGAGAAATTTGATATAAATTATAAACGATTAAGAAAAGGGATCTAAAATGTTGTTATTAAACATAATTAATTTTTATTTTGAATGTGTTATAAAGGTACAATGTGATTGGATGATATTGAAAATAGCTAAGGGAATGCCACTATGTGGTTTTAAATTTTGGAATGTTTGTTATAAAGAGACGTTAAAACAACTATAGTCATATGAAGGTTGAGGTATGATGATAGCAATATATGTAACTATATGTGATGTAAAATATGTAACTTGATATGAATCATCGGTGATGACTCTGGAAGGGATGCACGAAGTTCTTTGTAACCAATTGACACACTTTCTACAATTTGTAATGGAAGATGATTTTAAGGTGTTTATGTATTAAAAAATAATATATATAAAACCAATTTTTAGACTTATCCTAAACTAGGAAGAGACCAGTTTTTTTGCTGCATCCATCAAGAAGAGAAAGAAAAGCAAGGGTTTTGAGAGACAAAGAAAGTTAGGGAGATACAGAGATATAGATTCAATTAATATTTATTTTATTTTTGTTTTGATCCCCTTAAATAAATGTTAACTCCTGGAAACTGTCTGGACTAATCACCACAATTTTCTTGATAAGATTTTTTGGAAGTAGTTTGCTATCATCATTGAATTTGCTAGAGCTGACAGACTCACTAGTCCAAGGCCATCCTGCTGATTTTGTACCTAAAGTAGGTCTAGAAACAATTGTCCCAGTTTCTTATCTGATACCTTAACTGCTACACCAAACTAGTACTTTCAATATTTAGACAGTGGCATTTTCATCTTACCTGTTTTTTTCAGCTATTGCACAAATGCATCATGGCAATATGTTTCTGCCAGGTCCTCACAATGTTGTTTCATCTTCTCCCTAATTCATTAGTAATTTGTCTTAATAAGTCTTCACAATTGATATTTAAAGAAATATTTTCTCTCAGGTTCAATCAGTATCTAGGGGAAGCTTCCAGAAGTACAAAATCATTATCCACCTGTCTGGGGTGAATGTAGGAAGACAGTGACTAGGAACAAAGGCATTGGAGCAGTAATCTATAAAACGGTTTTTTAAAAACCCCATCCTTTTTTACACATTACACATGTCTGAAACTCCGAGAACATCTCTACATCCCTTAGGCATGAAAGCTAACCACGTGATTTTGGGCCGGTCCCTGTTGCTCAGCCAACCTACCTTACAGGGTTGTAGGTGGGAGGAGTATGAAGTATGTTTGCTACCTTGAATTATAAGTGCAAACTCTAAAATTTCCATAAGCATTCTGTTTTCTATGGGCTGGGAAAAAACGCCGGTAATCAAAATCAAAACAATTTTCTAATGGCCAAGAACCATGCATTACGCTCCGTAGTTCCGCGGAGAAGTAAAGAATCGCCAGAGGAATTCTGACTACTCAGATCTCGTTTCGCTAGCCAAGAAAAGTCGAATGGCGTGCCAAATAATTGATGCGATTACTGGAAGAAAGCAAGGCGAAACCCCGCCTCTTTGAGAACAGCCAATAGTAACCGCAGCCTTAGCAGAATCTGGGCGGCGTTGACGGAACCTTCCTTTTGTTACTGCATTGAGAATCCATAGAAAGAGACGGGAAGACCGAAGCAAGTATTCAGAACTTTGAAATGAGCCCGAAGCGATCCGAGCATGTCTGGGGCTGTTTCCTGCTTCTTAATTAAAAAAATAAGGTACATCTCCTGAAATCTTTCTTGCATTTCTCTTCTTTCCCTCGGTTTGCCTGCGAAATGGTTTTAAGGTAGCGAAATGCTATTTTGGTCTAATTAGCCATGCTTGAATCGTCACATAATACAGTTTCCTTGATGGGGTATGGAAGCGAAGGAAGGGGTTGTTTTTTCCTCCAGCTTGGTTACGATCCTTTTAAGTTTTTCTCCGTTGCAAATATTCTTCCACGGTAACGCATTCGTTTTTTAAACATTGCCTCTTGCCCGGGGACGATTGCTGTTTAGTGGCGCTGGTATTCCTTCCTTGTAATAAATACCTTGGATGCCGTTCGGGAAGGACCCCGGGCGAGCGTGAGGAATTCTGGAAAGTCGTGTTTCTTAAAACCTGACCGTTGTTTTACATTAAAAGCACGAGTTTGCATGTGTTTGTGGTGTAAAGCTCAAGAAATAATGGAAAGTAATTTATAATTAGATCATATGATTAAAAAGAGGAGAAGGGAACTAAAATTTTGAGTTTGCACAAAGCGCAACCTTTTCTATATTTAAAATATCTGGGTCTCTTTGGACTTAAATTTAAACCCACCTACATTTCAGGCTAAGCATCTTTTCTTCTTAACTTTGGAAAAGGCAGCACAGTTAGGGTAAATCATCCTTGCACACAGAAGTCTTATCCCGCCGGCAGGTTGACAGGTTCTTTGATTTGTTCCCAGTGGGTATCTGCCCGCCCGCATCATATCGCCCCTTGCCACCTGCCCTAGAAACGCTGCTTACTGACATCATGGAAACACCCCGCCGCCCAGGAAAGCGCATGCAAATGCTGTTCGCTCTAACGATTTCATTTGGTCAAAACAACTGTCAATCAATGGAAACGATTCTCTGCCCCTTCTGAAGACCCCCTAGGAACCGAAATGGGACGAGCTCAGGAGGCTCCACCCTATTTCCACAGGTAGCGTTGCTTAAAGTGAATATATTTCCGTTTCTCGCTCCCGTCCGCCCTGTTTTTTGCTTTTTAGCTTTGGCAGCTTATTCAGAGGAGGTGAAAAGCCTCTTGGGTGTTACTCTTTCCGCGCTAAAGATACAACAGCTTTGAGAAAGCTTATACTTGTCTAACCTATGTTTCAAATTGCTGCCAGATCTCAGGTAAGAATAAATTTTAGGAAAGCTTGTTATTCCGGATAGATTTTATTTTTGAATGTTATGAGGGGCAGGAAAAAACTTTTAGCAGACTGAATTTTGTACAACTTTAATGTTTCTTTCCTGTTCAGTTTTTTTTAATGCTTCCCTCTATTCATTTTGTTTTGTAAAAGTAATTTTATAAATAGTTTTGCTCATGCACAGATAATTCTGTGTATATAGATATAAACAAGATCAGAAACTAAAGTGAATTTCTTTAGATTGATAACAGGGTATTGTACTTCTAAATGCAAAAAGTAGATTATTTTTCTGATTTAATCAGGTTTTGAAGACTTTTTCCTTCTGAGTGGAAGATTGCTGGTCTAAATGGTGAGGTTAGAGCCAATAAATTGGTGCTTTTTCTTCTGATCTAACATGGTTTATTACATGTTTAGGGAAGTCATATTGCAGATTATGAAACTTCTGGGCAGGAGCTAATAGAAGCTGTAATATCTCTGGAAAACATTAAGCTGCTGTAGGAGAAAACTGTCTAAGCAAATTAATAGAATGGTTAAGAACCTCTGCTGAAAATCACCCCATTCACCCTAACAACCATGAAGACATGGATTGTCAACCAGGATAGCAGTTAATAAGACAGCTGCTTCAGGACTGATCCAGAGAGCCATCCTTCAAGAAGTAATTTAAAAAGTGTTTGTAGTATTAAGTGTTGTGTGGTTTGTTTTTAAACTACCATAAATACATTACCTTTTCCAGAAAAAAATAAGCTTATTTCTTGGAAATAAAGCCCATTCTTATATCTCAAATACAATGATATATTCCCAAAATACATCATTGATGGGCATTTGTGTTTATCTCAGTGGTTTCTTATTTCTTGACTGCAAAAAGGCTAGACAAAATTTTATATGTGGCATGAATGCCCCATACTGACAAAGCCACTTGTGAACTGTATATGTATCATCAAAAATCTATGAAAAAGCTCACATGCACCAAAAGCTATCTGTGTTTTTACCTGCCAAAGAGTGCTATGAAGTCAATATTTATGTATAGTTTATTGTTTTACAACCGATCCATCAAAAAAGATAGAAGCTAATTTATTTTTAGGCTCCCCATTTTCTTAGGCCAGTTTGCATCAAACCATTATGTTACAACAAAAACATAATTAAAATGGAAAAGAGAATTTTTTTTTTACAAAGACTTTTTTACGATTAGGAAGAATGTGGGAAATAGTTGATATCAGAAGACCTGGAAATTTGATGGAATTTCAGGCGGTCTAAGTTACAGAACTTCTGAAAAGTGAGTTTTAAAGCATCCAACCAACCGATCAATGCATCTGTAACTTAACAGAGGCAATTTTAATTGAAATTTTAATATAAATAGTGGGCTGGGGTGAAGAGAATTACAAGAAGGGGAATATATTTCATGTTGGCTCTTACACTGAGAAATTTTATGCCTCTTATATTACTCCACAAATTCAGAATAAGATACTTTCAAGCACAGTTTAAAATTGCTATTCTGATTGAGTCTAAACTTTTATTCAGTTTATTGTGATTCTGTATAACAAACATAGATGAGTTTTTTAGTAAGTGTGAGGCTAATCATTAATCCATCGCAATATCTCTATCACCAAAATTTTAGTGCAGTATTTTGAGGATCAAGATTGTAAATAAGAAGAAAGAATGTGATTTCTTAAGCTCAATACACCCCCTTTCTTTCAGAACTCTTAGTTAAATGTCCGGTTCCTCAGAGGTATCATCATCATGCTCCTTTGAGCACTCTCAGGCTAGGTTAAAAAAATAATTTTGACTTAAAATTATACAACAATGTATAATGCAACAAGATGGAAATATATGGATGTGTTGTTTCCCTGGTTTACTTATAATATTAGCTTTTACCTAGAATTGAAACTCGCAAGTTTCAATAATTATGACCAGCGTTTTTTCATTTGCATTTTTTCAACAGATTTAGATTTTGAACATTATCCATACAACTCATAGTAAGATTATTAAGGAGTACAGTTTCTGACATTATCTTGTTTCATCTGCTACTTCATATAGATTTTCAATCATTTTGAATGCTTCCAGAAGATTGTAACATAAATATTTCTCTCTATTGAAATCCAGTTGATATTAGATTAATTGCTTTATTAATCCTGTGTTTCTAAGAATTAATCTTATATTGCTAGATATGTTGACCGGGGGGGGGGGGGATGCTTGTGGAAAGGTGACTTTCCTTGGAAGAATTCAGCAGGGAACAACTTCTGATTTTGGCCTCTGACTGTGTACCATGGAAATAACAATGGGCAGCCAGCTAGCTATTGACTCTAACTTCAGAGGCTTTAAGAATAATTGTATTTTTACTAATTGCAGAAAGTGCTGCTGGATTAGATACTTTGGGGATTTGATACATTATTTCCTTCTCCTTGTGGGATACTATATTATGAGGAGGATTAAGAGGTAATTAAATTCAGTTATTTGGATATTGCTCACAAAGCAGTATAGAATAATTTTTCCTAGTCACTCTTAAATTCTGGCATCCCTGCTTGAAATCTTTCAAGCTGACTGGTATTGGGTGCCTGCTTTGCACAATGTAGTTCAGAACTTGCAATAGTGTTAAATGCAACTATGACAGTAACTTCAATTAAAATGAAAAAAGGAACCAGGAATGCTAAAACTTTTGTTTTGAATGTTAAAGAGCCCAGCATTTTCAGGTAGAAAATCAAATATGTCAAAACTTTGAAAAGTTTCTGCTAATTCTTATAGGGAAGTAGAACAATGAACTCAGTGTGCTGCAAGTTTTCATATACCCTTGGCTCAAATTCCAGGCGACAAAGTTTACTTGTTTTGGGATTATTAGCATATGTTTCAGATTATTGCAATATTGTGTTATGTGCTTTTCTTGAGTATGAAAATTGTAGGAGGAAATACTTACCTTTCAACTTCCATTGATAACTGCAGATTCCCAAAACAATGATTCTAATTGCTCTGTTTCAGAAGAGTTTATACATTGGATGTTTACTGCCAAAGGGATGAATAAATGAAGTATAAAACCTGTGGTTATCTTGAGTTTCTTTCTAGTTGTACTTCAAGTAATTTAATTACCATATTATCCAAATTAATTTTTTCCTGTTATATTGCTCAAGAGCTCCAAGGCCTTATTTATTTTGATCAAAAATCTATGTAACAACCCTCCCCCCTCCCAATATATTTACACCTTAAGTTGTGGGAGTTCATATGGCCTGCATTTTAGACTTACTATGTTGTGGCCGTTGCCCATCACAGTTGTACTCTTTTAAAAAGATTTGTGAGTGTCCTGTAATTTCCTTTAGAAGCCATTCTTCCTCAATCTGCTGCCTTTCAGATATGTTTAGATTGCGGACTGTAGCAAGCTAATGAATGCTCACCACTTCTAACAGTCTTTACAATCCTCAGAAATAGACTACAATGATTTGCAAACCTAGCCTAAGTAGGAATGATATATAGAAACTAATACGGTTGTCACATCTGGCACACCAAAATTCTTGTATTGAAAAGCTGGGAATTTGCTTACTATCAAAACAGATCACAAATATTTTCCCCTCCTTCCTGTCATAAAAGCATAACAGAATTTGCTTCCATTTCTTGACTATCAGAACCAGCTGCCTGAGGAATGCAGTGTCTGCTCTTCCTATTGGTATGGTTGGTATTGTAGGATACATGCACAACAGGATTATATTGTTTGAGCTGAACTACATCTAGTTTGTACTTATTATATTTTTGTGTCTGAACTTTAATGATTATCTTCTGCTTTCACAATGCCAGGTTATGTTTCATAGGTTTGTGTATCATTATTGCCTATGTTGTAAGGGAGAAATTGCTCAATGAAAACATTGCTCT